CAGTTTACTTTCTTTTCTCCACTGTCAAAAACATATAAACTGAGGTTTTAAGTAGGAAAAGTTGCTGTTTAGTGTTGTACAAAATTGCAGCCACAATTGGGTATGCAAATGCAATGCAGTTTTGGACTGTGATTTATAAGTTCGCTCATAGAATTGGTTTATTATTGATAAGCATATTTATTTGACAGACGGGCAGAAAATAGAGATCACTCTTTCAAAGTTTATCCAGCAAGAGTGTCATGATTTGCAAGTTTCTATTTTGATTCTTTTAAGTTTATCACTTAAAGTGTTGTCATATTGCCATGCCCTCTACGCATGAAAATTAAATGATGGATATTTTTGGCGCATTGCAGGTTAGTGGGTGGTCCTTAGTATGCGGGAGGTGTAGGTTGACCGAGTCCTATGTGCACATCAATTATGAATTTATCTTACATATTATGTTTATCAAACCTGATCTGTATTGAATTCAGATTTTGATGACAAGTGCCTAACTCGAGCTTTGGTGGAAGAAAGTTTTCATCTTCTGCAGCAATTGGACTTGGACCTGGTAATCCGTAGGAGTGGAGCTGGTTTTGAACCTGCAAGTGCCACCTTTCACCGTATTTTGATATCGTCTAATTAGTGTCTTTTTTGCTTTAATGAGTTATAATGCCAAAAGACGGCCGGCCCAGTTGTTGATTGCAACTTTTACTGTTTTTGGGCCATATTTTGGTTTACCCGTTGGGCCACTTCTAGGTGTATTTGTGGTCATTCTTTTGGTAGGTGTAGTTGCAGAAATTTTTAGTCTTTAGCTGGAGAATACAAAGATGTGAGATATAAACAAAATATAAACCATTGCCCAAAAACAATGGAATCAATTTTATTAGTAGTGCTACATGTCTTCTCATTCAACTGACTTTTTTTTGCGAAACTCTTAAAGCTATAACTTTCAGTGATGCTCTCGCTAATCTCAATTGAACCTACGCGTTTTCTCACCAAATGGCATAAGTCAAATTAGGTTTTTCAAAAAACCTAATAAAGCATGCAATTTCAACAAACAAAAATGGCTTTAAAATAAACACATGCTTACTCTTTATATCGAAGGAGGAATTAAGCACCTCAAAGGTTGTATCAAACCTGTACCAGACACAAAAACAATTACCAATAAAAAATGCCACGAAAATGCAACCATTTGATAAATATACAAAAGTACATACAAACACCTACAATGGAAATCCACTAGTTGATTTAGGGTGGACGTTAATTCAAATTTTAACACAGTTATACTATAAAAGGCTTTCATTGTCAATTCATTTTAATATAAATACTATTTGGAGGTTGATTTGGGTCAGCTGAATCAATCAGATCTCTTCATTCGAATCACTCCTGTCCAGGCGTACCCCTGCTTTTGTAAGCATTCTCTCTGGAACATCATGCTTTGGTCGCAGGCTTAGGTGCAAACTTTTTTGTTAGCACCTCGGGCATTTTCCTCCACTTCTTGTCACTCCGAGCGGGCTTCTGCATTGAATCTCCAGTCAAGGAAATAACCAAAGTGAAGATTGTTTCCACTATCAAGAAGGCAACAAACAATTTATATCCTTTATGCAAACATAGACTCTAGTTATCCCCCCCACGAACCCCGTGTCTATAAGTGAGGAAAACAATAAATAAAAGGTGAAAGAAAAACCAATAATAATTCCTAATATATGTCATAACTATCCCTTTTTCAATAAAATTTATAAAGCACAATCATGATTAAGATTAAAAACATGAAACATCAGCATTTTGCTGTTTGAGACACCCAAAGAAGACTTTTAAGGATATCAAGATTTACTCAGCTGTTCCTCGAGCCATGATTTTGAGAGATCTTTCTCAACACAGGGACACAAGCTTCAGGCTGGAAAAGGAAATATTAAAACAAAATGTTTAAATGAGATCATATACAGCATACATATACATATATGGAAGAAGAGAGGTAATGTCAATGTTTGTCATGTGAGTGATTATAATACATTAAGATCGGCGGGCTCCCTGCGAAATCTACGCTTGCGAGACATCTCTCATCGGCGGGGTGAGACCATGCCTGTACTCAATTACAATCTGGAGCAGCATCACCATATTCACCGAACCATAATCATCTGTGTGTCGTTGGGTCATAAAAATCAGACAGCAACACTTTTAAGTTTATCATGAATCAAAGATGTGATTAGGAATGAACGAACTATTTGTTAATGATGCCCAACTGACCATGACCACTGTCAGCAGTCCTTATCAATAGTTATCATCACCTATGTCTTTGTAGGATTCAACAACACAATGTAAGGTCCATAGAGAAGCTGGGAAGTTCATTCCCAATCATAAACGTACCACTCCTTCCATCCTCACTAATGTATTAAATCTAATGACTTGTCTTCAGATAAAGAAGATCAGTTTCATTCAAAAGCCGCTCTATTCTCTCTGCCACATTCGGTGGAACTCTAAGATATGAATTGCTCCTCCATAACTAAAATCATTAGGACATGTCTCAAATACACTAAAATGTAAAATGACTTGATTTAAAAAACACATACTGGAATTGAATTGATTTAGAAGTCAAATCCCATGTTTTTGAAATTCAAAAAAATGAATTTAGAAATCTAAATCTCTTTGTTTATTTAATAAAATAGACTTTGATTGTCAATTCTGCATGTTTCCTTTCATTCAAAACACCATTTTAATAAAAGTTATTAACTCAAATGTCGGAGTGAACGATAATACTCCCCGTCTCACTCCCAGCATAAAAGAAGTAACAAGTAAAAAAACATCATAATTTAGCAACATAAACTGTAAGACAAGCTGAAAGTGATAGGTACTCAGACCTAAAACAAAAAACCCCATAATCTTGGATCTTATTAGAACAACGCAAGGATTCCATCAATGTGGAAAGAACCAAACACAACTTATAATACACGATCACTCCCAACTCCTTCCTGGTTTTCGAGAGGACATACTTCCTCACCTAATCTCTTTACAGAAAATACCAAGAATGACAAAAACTAAAGAAACAACAACCTCCCAAAAAAGCTTTATAATAGTCTGCAACACAAAACCCAACCCACAGACAATTATAAACTGTTTGGTCCCTCTTATTTCTTCTAACACCATTTAAATCTTTTCCTTGAACCTATCAAAGTATATTCTGTACAGTTTGTTTTTAAATTTAATCTGATACAACTATAGATACTAAGGATATTGATACAAGACTTAAAAAAAGAGTGTACACCATTTTTTCGTTAAGCCCTTGTAGAAGAGATGCATTAATCCATGTTTTAAGAACTCATTTAGGACATAAGCTAGAATGATGATTGCACAATGAACAACAAGAATCGAAAAAGAGAACAAAATATTAACATAAAAGTCAAAACAAAAAACAGTCAAAGGCAAACCTACAACAAATAGCAGTTGCAACAAAGAGAATTAACACTGTTACATTCATATAAATTACAGAAAGAATTTATTCAGAAGTAGGCTTCCCAATGATAACCATTCCATGATCAAAGATAACATGAAAAATAATTCAGTATCATCACCCGACAAATAAAAGACAGCATTGAACTTAAATGAAAAACAACATAAAAATATTTTTATAAAATCATTAACGCTTTGGTTTTTCATCAATCATAAGTATTAAGCAAATTACCTAACAACAAGCTAGTCTACATAATAAAGCAAACCATGAACAAAATGGAGAAAAATGGTTTCAAACATGGTTGTTAACCTCACTTGTGAACTCGCACAGTTAGATGAGTTCACAAGTTTGAAGCCCTCAGTCTGTTTAACATGCAACCGAACTATGCTTTTTGTGGGCTCCAGGGAGCTTGTCTGAAATTTAAGGGACGAATTCTCTAGGGGCAAAAAATTGACACTAGTTTAGGGCCATCCTGGGGCATATTTAGCCAATACTATTAACCGTAGTTTTCTTCTCTCCTGTGACCAAGGTAGTCAAACTCAAGATTCTTCTCTCCTGTGATCAACGTCTGTGCATAGTGATTGTAATGCATTTGAAGGGGAGTCCTCTTTTTTTCTCAATTCCGTTTTGCAAAATGTTAGTTTAGCTACCCAGTAATAAATTTTCTCAATTGGCCACCTTAACTACGTCTATCAGCCACAAAAATACATATGTTCATATGATTATCAAACTTTTGCCTTCTTTCTTTTTGCATTGGACTTAAAAGACCACTTTTAAGGATATCTTGAAGCTTTTATGTTTTACATTTTTAGATTGACTAGGATCTGTATCAAAAATCAGACGAATTGATTGGGAAATATTTTCACTTAACACAATTTCTTCCATTGTTGCAAGTGTGATAAGAAATTTTTTTAATTATTTTTCCTAAATGCATCCTTCCTATGCGTTTTAACAAGTACAGTAGAGATTCATTTATTTTTAAATATACTACATATTGGTCATGTTGAAATGTATTAAGTTTATGTTGTTTTGTGAGTGTGCACCCAACTTAAGAGGTGGGTTGTATTCTGTCATGGTATTCTATATATATAGAATACCAAAACCTTGCTTGTTAGTGTCAATGAATGAATAAAATGTTTCGGTTAGTTATCTAACAGGTCATTACATTTGAAATTATCTGTACAGGTTGTTGTTACTGAACTCAGTTTCTCACCTTTTCATTTTCTCTCTTTTTCTTAAAAACGATCCTGTTACTTAAATTTGATTCAATGTATCAGGTATGCCTGCCCTCCTGTTATAATTCTTTCATAGAATTAGGAATTGTTGTTTGCTGTAACTCTTTTTTGTTAGCTGTTGAGCCTGTAGAGCTCGTTGTAAGAACGAGTTATAAACATAACTCCTTCATTCGTCAGCACAATAATACAATTTCTTCATTCAAATCATAAACTCGTGAGCGAGAGGACATACCTGAAATCTGGGGTGGTTACCACCGTGAGTGCGTGGTTGAAGAGCGGCGCTGAGAGATGGTGGTGCGACTGGAGAGGGTTGATTCCTGCGCGAAGAAGAAAAGAGAGAAAAGGGCGAGTATAGGGAGAAGGAAGAAAAACCCTAACACCTCTCTCTGATATGTCAAAGGTTTGGGAGAAATTTGACCTAGAAATTGCTGCTACTCCAATGCCTGAACCATATCAAGAGAACATTGTGGATATTATGTTATTTATTCATGCTAATTTTTTTTTTATGCATGTCAAATAAAATATCACAGGGGCTTCTCTCCAGTTCTTTCTCCTGACTGTCCTACAACTTCTCAGGTTTAATGGTTGGTAAATGGTGGGTCTGTATTAATATTTTTTCAATAATATAAAATTTATATTATTTTAAAAATATTATAAAATAATACAATAATAAAACTAAATATAAAAAATTATAAAACCATAAAAGTTATGCAATTTTAAAATTATAAAATTATTGAAATTTAAATAACTTACAACAAAAATAAAAATAAAAAATAATGTGAGAGAGCAAGATAATATCAATATCATCCCGTTAACTACCTTATAAGAAAACTATAATCTTAAAAATTCAATTGAAAAGTTTTAGATTTTTAAGGACTAATCTATAACAAATATTTAATAAAGACTAAATTAAAAATTTCAAATTTATCAAGCTCTTAAAATTTAATTAATCCAAAAATCTAATTTAATATCTCTTCCAATGTATTATAATTTCATACATTCATTTTAAAGAATTATCTTAGGAAGACATCACACGATTCAAAAGGAAGTTAGTTACCGCGATAATAATTTATACTATTATATAAAGAATTTCTCATATTAATGTACAAACTTTTTTCTACATTTATCTTTTAACTAATTTCTTTTAAATTAAAATAATTATTTTACAAATTCCATCTTTTAAGTGACCGTTTTTTAATGTAATCATTTTTATTTAATATTTTTTTTAAAAAATTAGCTATTTTTTAAGACTAAATTAATTATCTGCTTGCAAAAATCATTTACATTTACTTTTATAATTATAATAATTATTATTATTCTTTAATATCATAAAAAAAGTGGATACATTGTATATGTTTTCACTATTCTATACCCTATTGAAAAACCTAAATTTTTTATATGTCTAAGTTCCATAACTACATAACTAATTTTATTTCAAATAGTTAATAAAAATAAAATTAATCATTTAAACGGTAAATTATGGTTTTGGTCAATGAATTATTAAACAATCTTGATTTTAATTTTTCTTTCAAACTAATTATTTTTCTATACTTTCAAAATTTATGGAATTAGTCCTTAATTACTAATTGTGTTTGTATTTTTTTAACGTGAGAAACAATATTTCACATTAACATTTCGTTTTGGACATGTGCCAATTATTTAATTTAAAAAATAAAATTGATTTTTTACTTCAGTTTCTTTTTCATTCTTAAAATAGGGCTTCTCTCCAAAGGTTTCTCCCTCTCCTTTGATTTCTTTATTCATCTCCAACCCACCCAGAACTCACTCATATATACGTACCAGGCCTTCATCCCTACTTTATCTTCCTTCATACACTCAATTCATCATCATCATCATCAATCGACCTACTCCTATCTAGAACCAATCTTCATCACCATCATCGTTCAAGTTAGAAAATCATCAACAAAATATAGATAGGGAGAACTGAAGCAAAACAAAAAAGAAGCAACATAGTAAAGACCACTTAGGCCCACGTTTTCATCACCCAACAAATTTTTCATTACCTTCCTTTCTTCAAAACCTCCAAAGCACCCTCCTCACCCACATAATCATCTTCCTATTCGTATGTTCCAGATAAGGATTCACCCATGGGAGGTCTGCAAAGCTCTGCTTTCAGTTACCTAACATAGACATTGTCACTACTCACCCTTGCTGCTCGATCTATTGTTGGCCCTGCGGTAATTGTTGGAAGTGTTGCCATCCAACGCCCACCTCTATTGGATCTAATCATGTGAACCACTGGTGATTTTTAAAAATTTTCCCTTTTTATAAACTGACTTTACAAATAAAAGTGACTCTTTTAAAATAATAACAATAGAAATAAAAAGTATAGGAAAAAAGAGAGTTGTACAAATAATTTTATATCGGATAAAAATATCTTACATCTAGTTCTTAATTTTTCTAAGGAGAAATTAACCACTCACTAAAATAAATCAGAACTTACAACCATAAAGAAGATAATTAGGTTTAGAAAACACCTCATTTGAGTCTCAAAAAGGATGAAGACATCTCTCTTGAATCACAAAAGAGATGAAGAAACATCTTCCTTGAATCCACAAGGAATATACACATCCTTTGAATCATACAAAGGATGAAACTTCTTATAGGAATAGCAGTAGAACTCTGTCGCAACCGGGATCGCGACGGGACGACGATCCGAAGAATAAATAGTTACAAAGTTTTGAAAAAGAGATTTGGAGTCGCCACCATAGTTTATTCTGGAAAACTACAGAAAAATCATAAAATGATAAGGCATGGTTTGCGAAACTGAGATTCTTAGTTCGGGAGTCGGTTACGT